AGGGGGAAACTGTCCTTTTCCCAGGACTTCCAGTTGACTTGGCACATCAGAATAGATTATTGTAATGAATTCTGCACTGTACTATAAATGAAGACCAGAAATATAAGAGTGCAGCTACTAGCTGCTGCAGTGTGTCTTGCTAAGTTTATATTGCTCCTGTGCTCACTGATCAGAACTGGGTTTTCAGTTTTCCAAGTGTATTTGAAATGTTGACTTTTTTTTTTTAAGCTTCAGGATGGCAAATTTCTTTGGGACTTAGCAACAGTGATATTCCCTCACGTCTTTTAATACTATAACAATTAGAGATCAGCTAGTGCTGTCAAGCTAAAAGCTTACAGGTGAAGGGAGCTTATGTATGTTTTTTTAGTGTGTGTGGGTGGCTTGATTAAAATTTATTTTCACATTCTCAAAACTAGTTTGAGCCAAGATGTTTGAGTTTACTTGTTTATGCATTAAATAAAGAAGGGGTCCTGTGGAAAAAAAAGTGATTATGTAATTAAAAACTCTCATAACACTGCAATTCTTTATTATGGCTTAGAATGTAAGCATGCATCGAGGCTGAATTAAGGTTTGATGGTCAACCTTAATTCTGACATTTCATGACTTCTGAGTGTTTGAATTTAAACCCATAATGTCCTCTTAACATAGTCTTGCTGTATGTAATCTATCTGGTCTGTGCATGAGTCCATTTGTTCAAGAACTCCTCCGAAACAGTAAGAGCTAGGGGCACCAAATTTGGCATGCAGCTTCCTCTTCTCCTAACTTAAAGCAAGGTCCAGATTTTGTTGTGCCAAGATGACTGAAGCCCTGGGAAAAGGACAGGCTTTTTCCATAAAATGCAAAGAGAGGGGCTGCTGTTCAGGGGGATGGGATATGAGAATGACCACAGGGAATATGCAGGGGTGACCTATCCGGAATAGTGTCTACTGGGGGGAGCTGTACCATGAAGGGAATGGCCAACAGAGCTGTGGCTCTGCCATCTTGCCTGCCAGCACACCAGTAAGTGTTAAGGATGTTAAAATACGTTATTTTTAAGATTTTCAGTGGTTACACTTTTACATGCAGGTGGAAACACTGCTCATTATGGAGGCTTAATTATGCCAACCTGAGAGCTCTCCTCTGCCAATACAGAGTGCCTACACTGGGAGACCTTACAGTAGCACAGCTGCAGCGGTATACCTTTGCCATTGTAAGGTCTGTAGTATAGACACATACTGTGGCTAGGTCTACACTACACCTCTCTGTCGGCAGAGGGATGAAAATAAAGCACATCAGAAGTGCAAGCGAAGTGGGGATTTAAATATCTCACGCTTCATTTGCATAATCACGTTCTGGTGCTGTTTCGAACAAGTGCCATTTCAAAACTGAAACCGTGGTTTAGACGTGGTTCTGCAGACAACTAGGAGATTTTTAAACAGATTGTGTACTCCTTAAAAAACGAGGAGTACAGGATCTGTCGAAAAATCACCCCGCTGTCAGCAGAACCGCATCTAAACTGTGGTTTCAGTTTTGAAATGGCACCTGTTCGAAACAGCACCAGAAAGTGATTATGCAAATGAAGCACGGGATATTTAAATCCACACTTCATTTGTACTTTCGATGTGCTTTATTTACATCCCTCTGCCGACAAAGGGGTGTAGTGTAGACACAGCCTAAATGATTTGCCCAAGGTTACATGAAGTCTGGGGCAGGACAAGGAATTGAACTCTAACATCCAGACTTCAGGCTAGTGTCCTAACTACAGGACCATCCTTCCTCTCTCTCATTTAGATAGAAAGAAAGTTATATCCTTTTTGTTTAGCACAGATGAGGAAAATAAGGCGTTGGACACTGCTGTTATGTGAACTTCCCTAACATCTCAGAATCCAAAACAGCCCAAGACACAAATCTAAGTATACTTTGTACTCCAGGGAAAAATCTGCGTAAAAAAAACCCTCTGCAAAATTCTGTGTATTTTACCTGTCAAAATAACACAATATAATCATGCCAGTTTCAAAAATGTGGGTAATTTATTTCAAAATACCTGTCAAAAAGTATGTCTAACAATACAGACAACAAAAAAACATTAAAAAATATTTTCTGACAAATAGATTCCTTACTAGCTATATTAATAAAGAACTTTGAATAATAATACATTTAAACTATAAATGCAGATCTGTATTTCCTGCATCTCTCAGAAGCAGTGCAGAAGGTTGGGGGAGCAAAGGGGAGGGTCAAGAAGGAGACAAATTAAAGGGGTGTAATTGCTGGGAAGGATCCTGGGAATGAACGTGGAGGATTGTTGAGTGTGGGGTGGAAAAAGAAGTATGCAAAGGGGGTTTTTTTGGAGGGGAGGGCAGGGTTAGGTTTTGAGGAACATCCCCATGTACACCTTGACTGACCCCAAGCCTCTCCCATTCAGTCAATCATATCTGTCCCGTCCCCATATCCCTGAGCCCCACATCTCCCCTTCCTCATCCTCATCCTCATGTGTGCTGTTCCCCCACTCAGTCACCACCTACCCACACATTTTTGCCCTCATTGTTTCTACACCCATGTTCTGCCACCCCATCCCCATGTAGCCTTGCATTCCCACTTCCATTCAGTCCCTGCTCCAGTCCATCCCCCTCATTAGCCCTTTTGAATCCCAGTCTATATGACTCTCGACCAGCCCAGTGCACCTTTCTTTAAGATTGCAGAAAATACATCAATATGCTTTTGAAAAAGGAAGTAGCAACCACAAATGCAATTTTTGGACCTGATATGAACCAAAATGTACGTCTGCAAGTTTTCTGCTGTTAATATCTAGCACGTGTTATAATGCAATTAAGTATCAGAGGGGAATTATGTATCTGGAATGATAACGTCAATACTTTTGTGATTAATTTTTATATCTAATATTTTGTCTTTGTCTTGGAGGTTTATTGAATTACTTTGGGTGCTTACTTACATTGCAGTTATTATGGCATAAAACAGGGTTGGACAATAAAATGGCAACAATTCACCAGGGCTAGCCCCTTGTGGGCCCCTGCCACAATATTTACTTGTACCTCCACAGGTATAGGCGATCACAGCTGCCACTGGCCAGAAATGGAGGCACAGGTAAATACAGCAGTGTGGGGTCCTGTCAGGGGCTAACCCTAGCAGACCAGATCTGGGCAGGTATTTATCCACCCCTGGCATAAGCAGAACAATGCTGAAATCAACACACTCTCAGCCTGATTAAATTACTACACTTCTAAATTCTACTACTATATAAGGATTTTGGTGCATAATTCTGGATTGGAATTTAAGAAGTTTGGGTTAAATTTCCTGACTCTGACCCAGATTTCCAATATGATCTTGTACAATTCACTCAAACCTTGCCTAGACTTCAAAAGTTTCCCTTTCTTAACGATGGGTGCAGATGTAATGATATTGAACATAGGTTAACTACAAGTGTAGATCAAGGAAAAGAAGTATTCAGTATTTCAAAAATAAAGGCCAAACACTACAAGCCTTTAATCTCTTTGTAACTCTCATTTGTAAAATAGTGATAATGCTATCCTTCTGGACAAGGTGTTGAGAAGATTAAATTTGTTAATGTTTTCAATGCTCAGATATTATGATGATGGTCTCTATTAGTATTTTAAATTGTAATTTCATAACATCAGAATTTACTAAGAACTTGTGTAATATAGAACAAATGAGTTAAATAAGTGTTTATTTACAAACAGAGGTATTTCCTATTTTAGTTGCCACATTTGCATAAGCGGGAGGGGAGGGGGAAAGCAGACTATATCAATACAATGGATTTCATCTAGTCCAGAAGATGTTAGAAATATTTACCATAAAGTCATTATATACATTGTAGTAGTACCCAGGAAACATTTAATTGTGCTAGCCACTGAAAAAAAGTACAGTCCCTGTCCAACAAAGCCTATAATTGAAATACAGAACAAGAGACAGCATATGGATACAGAGCACAAGGAAACAAAAGGAATGCTGGTCAGCACGATGGACAGCAGTCTCTGCATACCGATCATTTGTCAAAGTCCTGACAAGCTCCCTCTGCTGGAAATTTTCCAGATCACTATGAGGGGATCCATGTGCTAGATCCCAGAATAGGAAAAGAACTACTTGCCGCTGGTTTGGGGTCCCACACACACTCAGGGTGCAGATCCTCCATCTAGCACTCCATCCTAAAACTTTAGGACATATGGCCCATTGCCTAGAACTCTAGAACCAGTGCTGAAATTGGGCTACAGTTTAACTCTCTCAGAGGGCACATGTCAAGGTATAGCATATAACAAAGGATTCATATGCAGCACTGTTTTTTCTTTAATAGCATAATTAGTACACATATCTATATAAAAATAATAAACCCTATAACATTTCACTGCCTCAATTTTCTCAGTACTTTTTTTGCTTTGGCCAGTGTGATCTGGAGCCATCCAAATAACTTCTACTGTAGTGCATACGTTGGGCTCTGAAACAAAGCCTTCTCCCCAGTTGGCCTCATCTAATCAGGACCAGTACATTCCCTCCCCCTGTCCTATCCAACTTTCCTGTGCCTTACCCCCAAGTTTACATGCCCCTCTTCTACATCAGGCTTCTTTGATAACTTTTCACTGTTCCAAATAGGGATGTAAAATCCGGTTTAATTGGTTAACCAGTTAAACATTATGTTTAGCCAGTTAACTGACTGAAGGAGGCAGGGAGCTGTTCCAGATCCTACCAGTTAACCAAAACCAGTGAGCTTATCAGTTAACCATTTGCATCCCTAGTTCCAAAGCCCTTCCTGCAGACTAATTTAGCCAAATTAATTTCCCAGCCCGGGTAACCTCCTTAATGCAACTACTGTGTTGTCAAGAGTATAGCCAAAGTTGACAACTCTCCATTCTCCCTGGTCTGGGGAAGACATAGCCCGTACCAGCCCATTGTGGATTCCAAAGTTACATAAGAGCATTCAGTGATACAACAATTTTCATAGTATCAACCATAATTCGTAAATTCCATACAGGTTCCTCAAATCACTATACCATTGTCAAATTGGGTGGTTTTTGATTATTTACGTTGGAAAGGCATCTCAGTAAAGGAGTTTTAAGAAGGAATCTGATGGAAAACAATGAAGTGGCTTTCCAGATGTCTGTTGGGAGCTCCTCCCATGCCTGATGGGCAGCCTGGAAGAACAAACAAAGGTGCCTGTTTGAGACATAAAAGTCACCTAATTTCTTTAAAAGCCTTACCATTTTACTGTACTGACCTTCTGAATGTTTGTCACCAAGCATGCCTATTTTTCTTCATTTTTCTCAACTGTCATCTGAAAATACTATGTTATTACTTAATATACAAGGTTGTTTTGTTTTTCTTAAAATAAAAGACATTTTTGGAACAGTCATATAAATGCTGAGTAAGAATTCAGGGGAAAAATCTGTAGTATCTACTATAAGGAAGAGGACTGTACAATCTATCATCTTTTACCCAAGGGGCATGCAAGATGGTCTGCAGGTAGGACCAGCCCGCAGGCCGCTTTGCTGGGACCCTCAGACACAGAGCAGCCAACTGCTTTAAGCAGCTGCCTGCTCCCTGTGACACTCTGTTCTGGGCCCCGGAGAGAGAGGGAAGCTTTGCGCACTGCCCCCCACTCATAGCAAACTCAGCTCCTATTGCCCCTTTCAGGCCAATAGCAGCCGAGAGATTAGCCTGGAGGTCAAGGACAGAATGAAAAGCCTCTATCTCACCTTCCAAATGCCCAGAGCAGAGAGCCACAGGGAACAGCCAGGCATTTTAAACATCCTGGGACTGCAACAGGCAGAGAGCCTGCGTCAGAGTCCTGCAGGCCCAGGTAAGCGCCTCCTGGTCATCTCATACCCCAACCCTGCCCCAGGCCACCACTTAAACCCTCTGCAACCCCTTCCCCTCCTCCAGGTCACAACTCCCTCCCAAGCCCTATACCTCTTCCTACACCACTCCTCCAGGCCAAAATCTTCTCTTGCACTAATATCCTCTGCCCCAGGTCACAACCCCCTCCTTTACCCAAACTCCCTCTCAGACCCCACATCCTCTCCTGCACTCCACTCACCTACCAAAGCTCCCTTCTGCACCCAACCTCCATCTCAGACCGTGTACCCACTCCATAGAAAAGTGCGACCCTTGATCACTCACCTAAAGCTTGGCATGGTCCTGGATCAAAAACTACTCCCCACCCTTGTTTTATCCATTTATAGGTCTAATTCCAGATAACTTGAGCAATTCTGAATATTCAGCATAGAGAGAGTCTATGAATCCACTCAGTCCTACTTCTTTTTCAGCCAATCACTAAGACAAACAAGTTTGTTTACATTTATAGGAGAGAATGCTTCCTGCTTCTTTTTTCCACTGACACCAGAAAGTGAGAATGGATGTTCCGGGGCACTTTTGTAGTCGGCATTGTAAGGTATTTCCATACTAGATAGTCTAAACATTTGTATGCCCCTTCATGCATCAGCCACCATTCCAAAGAACCTACTCTCATGCTGATGACACTTGTGAAATTAAAAAATTGCGACTGAACTCCTTGGGTGAAGACTATGGCTACGTCTACATTGGCATGATCTTGCGCAAATACTCTTTAACGCAAGAGTTCTTGCGTGAAAGTATTTGCTCAAGAGAGCGTCTACACTGGCACGTGCCTTTGCACAAGAGATGTGCTTTTGCGCAAGAGCATCCGTGCCAGTGTAGACACTCTCTTGCGCAAGAAAGCTCTGATGGCCATTTTAACCATCAGGCTTTCTTGCGCAAGAAATTCATGTTGCCTGTCTACACTGGCCTCTTGAGCAAGAACAGTTGTGCAAGAGGGCTTATTCCTGAGCGGGAGCATCATAGTTCTTGCGCAAGAAGCACTGATTTCACACATTAGAACGTCAGTGTTCTTGCGCAAGAACTCCCCGCCAGTGTAGACAGGCACCATGTTTTTGCGCTAAAGCAGGTGCTTTGGCGCAAGATCGTGCCAATGTAGACACAGCCTATATGTCTCTTGTTCTGTTTGTCTCCACATTCTGCCACTTATTTCATGTTACAGCAGTCTCAGATGATGGTCCTGCACATGTTTAAGAACATTTTCATAGCAGATTTGACAAAATGCAAAGAAGGTACCAAAGTGTGATTTCTAAAAATAGCTACAGCACTCAACCCAAGGTTAAAAAATGTGAAGTGCCATACAAAATCTGGCAGCCACTTCCCACAGCTCCCATTGAATACAGAGAACCACGGCCACTGGAAGCTGCAGAGGGCCGTGCCTGCTAGTGGTCTGTCAGCAAAACATCTTGTGGCCCATAATCAGATTACTCTGATGTGCTGCATGCAGCCAGGGGCTGCAGGTTGCCCATCACCGCTCCAAAGTTTTACACTTTTATTTTTAATGCATTTTTGTACATAATACTGCATTTGTAAGTTCAAATTTCAAGATCAAGAGATTGCACTACAGTACTTGTATTGGGTGAATTGAAAAATGTTATTTCCTTTGTTTTTTAGAAGGCAAGTATTTTTAATCAAAAATATAGTGAGCACTGTACATTTTGTACTTTATGTTGTAGTCAAAAATCAATACATTTGAAAATGCAGTAAACATTGAAAAAAATACCACCTATTTAAATTTTTTTATCACGATACTAGGGCTGTTGTATGAGTGAAAAAATAAGTTACCTAAACAAAAACATCCTGATTAAAATGTTGAACAGAACCCTCAGATGTCAGCTACTAAAACATATTTACCTTTTCCATTATAATTCCACTCTGAAGTCTGAATAAAGTCCTTTTGGAAAATTTAAAGGTCTGTTTACCACAGTTTGCAGGAAAAAAATCACCAGCACATTGATAGAAAGAAAAAGAGCAGTTGTACTGAATATGTCTACAAACAGACCCTCTTCAACACTGTTATTCATCTTGTAAAGTCCTTAATAGCACAGGGAAGTTGCCACCAGACCTAAAAGCCAAAGATGGTCTTACTGCAAGATCTCCAAGGTTTGAATCTTACAGGAAAAAAAAAGAGAGAAATGCTTACCATTATAGCAAAGTCTTACTCTGAACATACATTGCTCAATATAAAAAAAAGTAAACTTAACAGAATGCTTTTGGCTTTTTGAAAGAATGAAATCTTACCAACTGTGCACACTTAGTTTGAAAATAACTAATGAAAGCAAAAGGAACACTGACTCTGGAAAGCCACTTATATAAGAATTTATTGTAAGCTCTGGAATAATTTTGGAAAAGATAATGTCAGTGGTAACCAGCCATAAGAAAGCTAAAATATAAGTAATACTTGCTTTTCACCAGCATAAGTATTTAAACTGATAACATATGCTATCAGCAGCCTATTAATTTAGCAGGATGTTAGTCTGTTGCTATCAGACAGCTCAAGGAGGCTTCTGTGCTTCATTGCACAGTGGTAATGTTAACCAAAACATGACACAAAACGGAATTTTATCAAATTGCAGGCATCACTTTCTCTAAATGCCAGGAGATAACGTTGCTAGAAGCAACGTGTGCAGCTTCAAATACACAAGTTCCCACAGCAAAGAAGGGATGAAGATAAGGTGCCTAGGGTGTACAGCTCAGCTGAGTGTAGTCCGATAACTGACTAAACTGGTTGTGGGAGTGACTCGAAATCTTGCAAGAGAAAGGGTGTGAGTGACTGATGTGGCCCAGTGACCTCCTGCGCCATCGGGAAGGGGGGAGCCCGCAGCCCAACGGTCTGACCTTCCGAGCCGGATAAGGATGGAGAGAGATGGCGTTAAGGGGGTAACCCGTGCCTGGATGACCCGGGTGGGCACTAAGCCCGCACTGGGAAGGCGGCGAGGTCCTTACCTGGGACAGCTGCCTGGGGTTGGGGCAACCGAAGAGCGCGGAGCTGGAGCTGAAGCTGATGGCCCCCCTGCGGCTGAGGACATGCTGCGGGACCGGCCTGTCCAGGGGCAGCACCGGCAGCTGGTAACATACTTCCATTGAAGAGCCTCTGCGCTCCGAGCCGCGCCAGGGCACCGGCCGCTGCATCTGACTGCGCGGGGAATCGCGGCAGTGGAGTGGAGGGAGGGGGCGAGAGGCGGCGGCAAACAGGCCAGAGGGCGTAAAACCGACTATTAAAAAACCACAGGGGGGCCCGGCTCCGCCTCACTCCCCCTGCACCCGCAGGCGTCGGGTCTGGCCGGGCCCCGGGCTCCCTCCTCTGCCAGCTTCAAGAGTCGCGTCGGGCGGGCTGGGTCC